ACGCCCCTGGCGCCCCTCCCCCCGGCCCGGCTCCTCTGCCGCGTCCTGCCCTCCTTTTTCTGAGCCCCTGAAGTTGGAGCCTCCATGCCCGGCTCTTCTCCGTGTGCAGGCCTGGGGGTTCTAGCACCATCCACGGCCATCTGCCCTCCCGCCCCACTTTGGCTCTGAGCTTCAGACTCTCAGACACCTGCTCTCAGCATCTCTGTGTGGGAAGACGACAGCCTCTCTCTTGACATCTGCAAAACTCAAAGCTCCTGACGTTGCCCTAAACCCCTGTTGCTGTGCGTCTTCCTCAGTCAGGGACAGGCGGGCACTACCCCTCACCCGACACTCAGGCCCCAGCCCTGCCACCTCTCATCCTACCTGCCAAATGTGCCAGAACCATCCACTCCTCCCCCTGCCCTGGACCTGGCGCCCACCGGCTCTCTACCTCACCCCTGACCCCACAGCCAAGCCACGGCAGACAGAGGGACTCGGGAAATGTACATCCGAGCTGCCCACAGCTCCTCCTCATCCCCCTGTGGCTCTCAGAAGTAGTCACAAAGTCCTGGTGGCCCCAGCCCCCCATCCCTCTTGGGCCTGCCTGTAGGTCCTGGCTCACGCCTCCCGGAGGCCCTTGCTGGCCACTGGCTGGCACCGCAGCTCCACCACTGTCCCTGCTGTCCACAAATGGCACGTGTCAACAGCAGGCAGCCATTTCTGTCACCCTGTCTTCTCCACGAGATGTCAGCCCCACATGGCAGGCTCCCCCTGACCTCCAAAACTCCCAGGGCCCACATATGGCTCGGAGAGGCCCAGGAGCACAGGTGACCAGTCTGGGCCCACCTCACGGTGGGCGACAGTCCAGTCCATACCGCCCTGTGGGGAAGGAGGCACTGCTAGCCGGGCACTTCCAGGACACATTTTGGGCCTGGTGGCCCGAGCTCCCTCCCACACTGGCTCTGTAGGGGAGCCAGACCTGGGGGCAATTCCTGCCAAATGGTCAGTGCCAGCATGAGGTTTCCTGGAGGAGCTGCCACATGGTGACCTCCAGGGCCAGGTGAGGCCACCAGGAAAAGGGCAACGGCCTCCCGCATCCTGGACCAGCCGTGAGATGCTGTGGAGGGGGAGGGGCTGGAACCCAGAAGGAGGCTTCCGACCCCTGCCTGGGCCGCCCACTCTGAGAACCACATCCTGCACCCAGGGCCCCCCCGCTGGCCCCAGCAGCCTCAGCCTCCAGCCCATGACCGGCAATGCAGAATGTGCGGGCAGGGGTGGAGGGTGGGGAGCCGGCATCGGAGCCGTGGAGAGGGCAAACGGCACCTCGTTTGTCCTTTTGGGGACTCTCGATCATACTTTCCATCCCCTGTCCTCCCCCAGGCTGCCACCTAGTCTATCGGGTGGAAATCTCCTGGGGGGGAGTGGGGCCTCCTGAGGGTTGCAGCAACTCGGCCACATCCCCCCGTAGCACCACTGCCGTCCTTGCTCGATGTCCCTGCAGGCCATCACAATCTCAGGCTGAGGCAGGGCCTCACACCCCTGCCAAGCCTGAAGGTGTGGCTGGTGCCCAGCAGGCCAGCAGAGCCGGCTGTACCTAGCGGAGGGGTGGGAGGAGGGAGGGAGGCTACAGGCCCCCACCTCCAATCCCTACCTGACCCCTGATGCTGCCGGGGCAGGAGAGGGCTCCGGCAAGGCCCAGCCCCCACAATGGAGGCCCCAGGGTCACCTCTGTGCTGAAGGGCTCCCCGGCTCCATGGCGGTTCAGTGACTCAGCTCTGCCCTGGTGACATGGCCAGGCAGGCCCGTGGGAGGGGGGGTATGAGGGGGTGGGGCATACTGGGCCTCAGGCCCCCAACGTTCCCAACAGTCTAATGGCCCAAGGACAGCTGAGGTGAACCAAGAAGACAGCCTGAACCCAGACTGGCCACTAGCTGGTCCAGCTCTCTGCATGGCCCTGGCCTTGTTGTCGCATCTGTAGATGGGACAGCTCCAACTCTGGGACCCTGGGATTCACCCCAGTAGGAGTGTGTGTTGGGGGACACGTGAATGGCTTGTCAACATGCGTACATATATGGTACAGGAGCCAGGACATGCCTATGTTCTGATGGTGAGGGATATACAGGCCATGGGAAAGGTTGGAATTCCAAGGTGGAAGACTTCACAGGAAGTGTCTTTCCCCATCTCTCTGCCCAGAACCTGAGGTCTTTCCCCCAACCCCAGCCCCTGCAGCCCCAGGCCCTGGCCACTCCTGGTCCCAGAGGAACCCCAACCAGGGTCAGTCCTGACTACACACAAGGAAATCAGCCGGAGACCTGTTTTCCTCCCCAACCCCTGGATTGGAGGGGAACACAAGGGAGCTCAGCGGGCCCACCCCCAACGGGTCCCAGCCCCCTCGCAAGCACCACTACTGGCACATCAAACCACAGAGCCTAGGCATGCCCTGCCCCAGCCCTGCCTACTGCACTGGAGCCTTAGGGGTGAGTGGTGTTCACCGAGGTGCTCGTTGACCCACAAACCACAAGGTGGGGACTGGGGGTGGGGGGATAGGATCTACTCTGGGATTTGGTCAGGCCTGCCCAGGCCTGATAGGGGTGTGGGCAGGGCCCAGGGGCCTGAGGAGTGACAGTCCAGATGGTCAGTACAGGGTGGGGCGGGGAGGGGTGGCAGGGTGGGGCAGGGCCCAACCCGGGGCTTTCCCAGGCTGGGCCAGGGTCACATGCAGATGACATGTGCACAATCCTTTCTGAGCACTTGCACTCTGCTGGGGGGGCCTAGAGGTCATTCCAACCAGTCCCCGCAACGTGTGGTGCACAGGTAACCTGCTTCTTCCTGGGTTCCAGCTGGATGCTAAACCCTGGAAGCACAGGGCTTGGAGTCCGACAAGTTGTTAGCAATCCCAGGCACTTCCACTGTTCCTCAGCATGAAAGGGCCCAAGACCCTGCCCTGTGCCACACTGCCTGCCTCTCCCCTCTGCTCCCACTCCTCACCTCTGAACTAGAGATCCTGGGATCCTCACCTCTCAGGAGCTGCTGGGAGAGGTGAGGAGAGTCAGGGATCTCGTCTTGAGTTGGAGCAGGGGGAAGCCCTATGAGGCCCACAGATCAAACTCCGTCCAGTCCTTTGCCGATTTAAGGGTGGTCATTCAGGGTACAGGGTGACCCTTCCAGTGACTTCCGGCCTCACCAAGTTCAAGCTCCAAAGTAGCGGGCTCTGGGTGAGGTGCCAGTAAGCAGTAACTTGTGGCTCACACCTCCACAGCTCCGGCTGATGTCCACATGCACACTAGAGTCTGAGCTTACCCGTGTGTGTGCACACACTCAGGGAGCAGGGAGCCGGCAGAAAGGGCAGGAAGTCCCCGGTTCCTGCCATACTTCCCACCTCCCTCTCCATGGGGGCAGGAAGCTGACCCGACCTGCGGCCGGTCCCAGCTCCCACGCACGTCCGCTCTGAGCACTCTACAGGCCAGAGCCCCCTAACTAGGGCCCCTGGAGGGGTCTGGAGGGGAGATGAGCCTGTGGAGGGAGGGGGGAGCCTTGCAGGTAGGCAGGCCAAGTCCATGGGGGGAAAGACTCGGCCCTTCAGGACACCCCAGTGCTGCTGCCCTCAGTTTCAGGCCTAGGAAGGAGGGGTTTCCCCCACACACTGCATCTCTGGCGGCTGAAAGGAGCCTAGAGCAGGGCGAGGGGTCCCGGCGGGGGAGGGATAGGCGGCCGCTGTCCTGCCCCTGGTGCCCCACCACCTGCAGGACACCTCCCCGGGGGTCAGGATGTGGCTCTCTTCCACCCAGGCCCAGCGTCCAGCCCCGCCTGAGTGTCCCAGCAGGCCGTGGCTACGGAGGAGGCAGGTGTCAGGACTGCGGGCCGGGGGGCGACCCAGCTGGGAGCGCTGGGACGCTCCGGGTCGCATCTGGCCCTCGCCCGACCGTCGGCGCCCGTCGGGGCCAAAGCGCATCTCCTGAGGTGGAGGCGTCGAGGCCAGCGCGCGGCCCGGGCTCACCTGCGCGAGGTCATGTCTGCGCCGCTCCGCGGTCGGCGCTCTGAACGCTCGGGGCGCCCCGGGGCGACCGCG